CTTTCCGCTCAAACCCCTGCTCAAATCCGACAAGAATGTCGTTTCGCAAATCATTGGGTCCCGACAGGACCTTGGCGACACGAAATCAGCGTGTTCGGAGCCCGAGGTATTGATCGGCAACGGTGCATCATCGTATGCGGACCCTGCATTAGCCGCATGCGGCTGCATTCGACGCGTATGCAATGCGCTGACCGTGCCACCGGTCTGCGCCCGATGTGGATGAAACTTTATTACCTGCTGGTGTCATTCTCCTCGCGGTCACGATCATCCGAATGCACGGTAATTCGGGAAGCGGTGATCCGTGGTCAAAAGTCGATTTTTTAAATTTTATATTAGAACAAAAATTTGTTTTTTTCTTTGCACCGAGAACCTATTGAAGCTTCAGAATACGAAATATTAATTCTGTCGGATAATTTCACGAGTCGGTATAAGGTTATAAAGAAAAAAATCTTTGGATTGAAATTAAAATTAATTATTTCGATTATTTTCTGTAAGATATCAAATGCGAAGTACATGTGTAGAATATTTTTATACATGACAATACATCTCATTTATAATAAAAAATTATATTAATTATATAGATATTAGTATATTAAAAAATATACTAATATATTAATATATTAATAATATATGTATATTATTTTTTTTATTTAAAGTCGCATCTATCTTTTTGGGTTATTAGCGACTAAATAATAATTATATATATTATATATGCGTAAATAATAATATAATAATAATATATATTATATATATAAATTTATTAATATATATTACATGTATAAATATATCATAAAAATTCCTTAACTCACCGATTTAAACTTCGAGGGAGCTTACAAAAAATCGATTGAAAGTGATAGACACGGGACTTTGTTTATATAAAAGTTTGCACTATTGTTAACCCTGTGCACATAACTTTTCGAGTGCAAACATCTGCAAAATTGAATTCTACGCTTATTTTAACAAGCGAGCGTTGCAAATGTATTCGTATCTTGAAAATGATTGAAAGCCTTTCGCGAGATGTTTAGGTTATTTTTGTTTAACTTTCAGAAAAACGTTTTCTAAATGCACTTATGAATTTGTACATTCTATAGATTATATATAAATCTTGTTTTTAGTAACTATATCGCTGCCTTAGAACCCGTCGAAAATTTGTTTCAGATTTACAGACGCGTGTTCTGTGGGCAAACATATTTGTAGCTACATTTGTTTACTTATTTATTCGACGGTATGATTATTTATTCGACTGACAAACTTGCTTGATAGTGAAACTATTGTTAAAAAACATAAAAGAATCGTGCGAATCCTCCTCTTTAGTTTTCCCTTCATATTCACACTCATCTTTCCGTAAAGTTCGATAAATAGAAATTGAGAACAAAATCGATGCAATATCTGGTCAAAATTGCAGCGAATCGAGCCAGTTCGTCCAATATTTGTCCACTGTATCATTTAATATTTTATTCAATTATCCAATATAAATTCGCCGATCAATTTTGGAGTGATTCGTCGCGCGAGCATAGAAAACGCAGTTTTCAAGCAAGGTAATATATTCAAGCTTTTATTGCGTTGCATTAACATACGGCACGGAAATACATTTCTAGTTCACGCGAGGAACAAATTGGCTCTCTGTATACACAGATAGCGCGCGTACAACCATCTCGCGCGATGATGCAACTCATCTTGCGCGATAATGCAGATAATACTTACCAGGCTTGGCGAATGTAATCGGGCAGTTCGGTTTTATCTGCTCAGATACTGAAAAATAATGCCGGTCGTGACTGATAAGCAGCAATTGTCTTGCGGTATTTATAAGTTCTGCTGCTATTTCCAAGCTCGTTTTTCGATCCGTCGTCGCGTAACGCAGCGTAATTATTGTTTCGTTGCACTTACAGAACTGTTCTCCCAGATAATCGGTGATCAAATAACGATCGCGTATCGAGCACCAGCGGCAGATAAGTTATTGAACTCGCGTAGACGGCGCGTCACGCTGCGTTTCAACCGGAATGACAGCCATATTCGATCGCGAAAATCGCCTAGTCACGATGAAAACGCGATGCCTCGTTTTCTTATATCTTCGTATATCCTCGCGATATACGGCACGAGACTCCCATTAATATTCGGACACTTATGAAAACGCAATAACTTTTCTAAAACCGGACTAAACGATTCCGACTACCGGCACGCTAGATAATGACTGGACTACTTTGTTAAAATTATGTATCGTTACTCGGAGTGACGAAAGAAAACAAAAATAACTGTCTCGTTTTTTTTAATCTTTTTATCTGAGCTTGTTCAATTCTAAACGTTTATAGGATACGCTTTTGCAATCGGTGAACGCAAAGTCAAGTTGAACGATTTTTTTAACTGCAGATTTCTCGCACTTATCAAAAATCGGGATAAAATTCCAATTTTTAACGATCTTTGATTGTTTATTGCTTGGGTCAAGGGCAACCGATTTCGATGAAATTTTCAACATGCGCGAGTTTTTGACATTTTACCGAGTTCTACGAAACGCATTATTTAAATTTTCGTTGCAGGCTCGGATTAAAAAAAAGTTGAAAATAGGAGCTTTTTATTTTCTTTTGTTATTCTATGTAATTGCAAAATTTAGAAAAAGCGTTCCAGTTATGATCTAGTAGACTGATGTTCCCCTGTCGTCTAAAAAATAGTTGAAAATGGGAGCTTTTTATTTTCTTTTGTTATTTTAAATAATTGCAAAATTTAGAAAAAGCGTTCTAATTATAGTTTAGTAGACTGATGATCCTCTGTCTAAAAAGATTCAAGTCGTTTAGCCCAGTTCTAAAAAAGTTATTGCCTTTAAAATGGTGTCCGAACTCTGTAAATTCTCTCCAATTTTCCATCAGCTTGTAAACAAAAATGGACAATTTGGGAAGATGAAATAAAATTATTCGAGCTCCCATTTTTAATAGTTGCCGATTGTCAACAATTACAGAAACGAGACGCAAGGCTCGAATAATCGTATCTCCTCTTCCCAAATTGTCGCTTTTTGTGCGCAATCTGAGCGCGAATTAGGGAGAAATTACTGTATCCTGTGTCACGACGAGTATACTCGTCGCGCGTAAAAAGTAGCGACCTCCTTTTAAAATAGGGAGTTCCCTTAACTAGTTAGTTGTGTTTGACGAGTATACTCGTCACGGAGAAGCAGCAGTATAGTGATTTCTTTCTGATTCGCGTTCAGATTGCGCACAAAAATGGAGAATTTTGGAAGAAGAGATACGATTGTTCGAGCCTTGCGGCTCGTTTTTATAGTTCTGTTATAGTTGTCTAGTTATGTACAGTAGTCTAGTTATTGTCTAGTGTTATTGTACAGTTATGTTTAGTTTTATAGTTGTCAACAGCTATTAAAACGAGACGCAAGGCTCGAATAATCGCATCTCCTCTTCCCAAATTGTCGCTTTTTGTGCGCAATCTGAGCGCGAATTAGGGAGAAATTACTGTAATTCGACTAATGGAGCTTGATCCCAGTCACCTAGCGCCGGTGCTCGTGGCGGCTCGGCGCTTCGTTCGAACTCTCTGATAAACGACTTTTGTTCTTCGGAACACTCTGTGTCATCGGAACACTGATTACATGCGACGCGTTCGACTGTAACTTCTCCCGCGAAGTTCATTCAACCGTTCGCGTGTATCTGTACTCGAAATACACACGGAGCAATCAGATTGGTTACCGCGATCGCGCGATACAATGTCATATCTCGGATCGAACGATCGCGCAATCTTTCACGAAAGACCGCCGCGGACACCGAAGAAAAATGTTTGCTCTCGCGAATGAATTTACGACGGCGTTTGCTCCTTTCTCGAAATCTTATTCGGTTTTCAAGGATACAGTAATGTCTCCCTAACTGACGCTCAGATTGTGCACAGAAATTGACAATTTGGGAAGAGGAGACACGATTAATTTGAGCCTTGCGGCTCGTTTTTATACTTGTTGACAATTCGTAACTATAAAAATGAATCGCATGGCTCGAATAATCGTATCTCCTTTTACCAAACTGTCCATTTGTGTCTAGAATCTGAGCGTTAATTGGGGATTCGCACTCAGATTACGCACAAAAATTGACAATTTGGGAAGACGAGATACGATTATTCGAGCCTTGCGGCTCGTTTTTATACTTGTTGACAATTCGTAACTATAAAAATGAACCGTAAGGATCGATCGAATCGTATCTTCTCTTCCCAAATTGTCCATTTGTGTCTAGAATCTGAGCATTAAGTGGGGAGAATTTACCGTGCAGTAATTTCTCCCGAATTCGCGCCCAGATTACTCACAAACATTGACAATTTGGGAATAGGAGATACGATTATTCGAGCCTTGCGGCTTGTTGTTATACTTGTTGACAATTCGTAACTATAAAACGAGGCGCATGATTCGAATAATCGTATCTCCTTTTCCCAAATTGTCCATTTGTGTCTAGAATCTGAGCATTAAGTGGGGAGAATTTACCGTGCAGTAATTTCTCCCGAATTCGCGCTCAGATTACGCACAAAAATTGAGAATTTGAGAAGACGAGATACGATTATTCGAGCCTTGCGGCTTGTTGTTATACTTGTTGACAATTCGTAACTATAAAAATGAACCGCAAGGATCGTACGAATCGTATCTTCTCTTCCTAAATTGACCATTTTTGTGGACAATCTGAGCGTCAATTACAGAGACATTACTGTACTTCAAATACTGGAATTTCCGGGCAATCGGAATGATCGATTGCCAATTTCTTATCGAAATTGCAATTTAGCTTATCCAACGGCAATCGTTTGTCGTCGATAAACAAATGAATAAATTTGCAACAAGATATCGGTTACAATCGTGAACAATCGAACGTGTCTGTGTGCGTGTGTGTGTGTGTTTGCCGGTTTGTTCTCATCCGACAGTTCCAGTGTCCAACGGTACGTACATTTTTATGCGAACATCCGTTGATCGAAGATAACTGAAACAAACAACGCACGCGCAGAGACGTTTTGTCGATCGATTGTCATCGTTTAAATCTTTGCCAAGAATCGTCGCGTGGCCTATCCTCGTTTTTATTTCAGATAATCGCATACAAGTAATACTGTATTTCGACATAAATTAGAATTTTACTAGTCATGGCGGCGCCTTTTTCCCTGTCGTGTTTTAACTCGCGTCCGAATCGAGTAACGTCCGGTTTTTACGAGAGCCAGAAGTAATAAAGCAGGATGCCGTAGACGCCGATGCCGGCCGCGATGAACCCGAGAAACATGCTGGAATCGTTTTTCGCCGGCTTGTATTCCCAGTTGTCGACGTTGTCGTTTGTTGTCGCGCTTTGTTCACCTGCGGATAGAAATTAGTTCCGTAATTACGCGATCGTAAGAAAAGTTTGTCCGAACGTTACACCGTACACCTGTAGCGATACAAACGAATGACATACAACCTCGTTTGCACCTGGACAAACTTGAAAGTTCGCTATGGTAGCGGAGCCGGTTACTGTGCCCTTTTTTGCCGTGTTTTTCATTTGTTTGCTGGCATAATGAACTTTGTATTTATCGAATGAGAGACATGTTACATTCTTTTATTATATTGTTTTGTTTACTTTGGGATATCTTGAAAGTCTAGATATCAATAATTTCGTTATTCTTTTGTTTTGCTTATTTTTGAGTAGAAAAAATTAGAAATTAACTTTATATTCATCGAATAAGACATATTGCACTCTTTTATTCTTTTATTTTGTTCACTTTAGGATATCTTAAAAGTCTAGATATCAATGATTTTGTTATTTTTTCGTTTCGTTTACGTTAGGATATC